TCCAACACGCAAGACATTTATTTACCTTCATGTCCTTTTGTTATATGACATAAAAATATATATCTCCAAATGTTCATAATGTTTACTATTCTACAATGTTAATTAAGAGTGTATTAATGACCGATTCCGAGGACAAATCAGAATATTGTTTATGTTGCGATTGAAATGAGAATAGAATCGGCCTACCGCCTTTTGGTGTTAATTGTTACTTTAAGTGGAAACAGAATTTCTGCCAGGTTGGATTTTGTAAGACGCTACGCGACCGTACAAATATATTTTTGAATATATATTTTTTTGCTAATTATAAAATAAAACAAATTAACTCTAAATGTAATACAAAATAAGTTTTATCTCACTAATACTATTGTTGTATTAGCATTTTTTCCTAGTTTTTCCGAGACCTCTGACCTTAGGTCGTTGGTTCCGTATTAAATAAGCTAACACACTAAAAATGGCTTATAAACCTCGCAAAAAAAATAGCTTTCATATTTGACAAGTTCCCACAGACAAATAAACAAATTTAATTTTTTTAAAGTCGATTATTCCCCATGTATTTTCTATAATATTTTTTTAAATACTAAAACTTCGAAGAAACATTATGTTTCATTATTACATAGAGATAAATCATGTTTATTGTTATGCCGACTATATAAACATAAAGTTTGCGCAGAGCCGTTTCAATTCTTACACAAATCGCATATTTTGTATACACTCTGTGATAGTCCATTACATTGTTAATAAAATAAATTGAACACAAAGGTAAATCGTAAGGCGTGTTCATTGTTCACTGCTGTGGCAGAGGTGGTATCTGAACATTATTATTGTCAAGAAGCGTCTCGCATTCAATGAGAATTTACACATTGTAAAACTATTATATGTACATAAGTGATAAATGATTTGCACTCAATACATTGATCTATATAATATGAACTCAGGTTCTACTGAGTTAAATCTAACTTGTTGTCTACGCCTACACGTTACCGTTCTACGATATACATCTTGCACATGGAGTAGCAAATTAAACAAATTTAGTCCGATCTTTAAAAAATATAAAAATATATATACCTTATAATAACGTGTCTATAAATTAAAGGTGAATTTACAAGCAAAATTATAAATATCCGTATTGTACCAATTGTGCGTGTTTGATACCAGCGTGGTTTGATTTTCAATAAAGTGCCAACTGCACGACGGAGAGGCCGTTCATAATCATCATAAATTTCTCTTGACCGACCACCATACATTATATTTTTAATGAAATAATGGAAGCTCTTGCATATTTTATATTATTACATAATAAGTGCTGCGCTTAAATTATTTTTCAATTATTAATCGGGTTGACAACTGATAGCTTGTTAAATGTACTTCCATTTTTTCATCATTACAAAGCTAAAGAAATACAATGTTGAAAATGTGTATTTTCTGTGTTCATTTAATTTCGCTTTTCAAACGGCACCACAAGGTTGCACAGGATTGACCCTGCGACTTCCGACATAGAAACGAGTGTACTTTTACTCATCGATAAATTATTATTCTGCATGCAGATATACATATTGTAGTAATTTTAAGTGCATAGTTCGTGTTTCAATGTTTGACTGATATGTTTTCTGAACACGTGACATGATGCAAAAATTGTGTGAAGCCCCGAACACATGAAAGGGTTAATATCTTAACACGGCACCTAATTAACTGTACACCATGTCACAAAAATATTCACTTTGTATGTATATTCACATATTCATAAATATATTTATTTGTACATCACACAAGAGATTTTACGTTCAATAATTATATTTACAAATAAAACAACAACCCTCACCTCTATTCACAGTTGGGTAAAGTAGGGCTGTAAAACATATACAACTAAATACTTATATAATGCTTTTCAAAAATTAAAACGGCCCTCGTTGCATAATATCGTTAAAATTTTTGAAGTGCATTCACATCTCAAAATAAAAACGAAACCTAAATATCAAGTCCTTTAATAAACTATGATTTAACTAAGAAACATTATTTGATATTCCGTATTATTATTAGTATAAAAAATTCCAACGCAAACTAAAAATATTTTAATCTTGACATTTTCTTTATTTTAACTAATATTACAAAGATGAAATGTAAATTTCATATTAAATTTTATATCAAAATTTACATGCCATCCCACCAAGTATTAACTAAGGAAGGTTTGATACATAATTTTAATATAATTTGCAATTAAAAATGATAAAGACTGAGTTTTAGTTCAGTTTCAATAACTTACATTTCATAGAAATCTATAAAACCATTTGGCATATAAATACTGTCCTGGGGATTGTCTGCATATCATTGAATTGAGCAGAAGTTATATGATAGATAGTATTTATTGCATCAAAAATACTGAAAATTTTAGCTTCCGAATATAATATTTTAATATTGCAATTGCATATATAATAATAAAATACAAATAATGTGTTTTCTTTTAGGCATTACAAAACTTTCAATTCACACAACTAAGCAAATAAATATAAAGCAAATGTAATGCACTTTAATCACTAATATTAGGTAACCAACTAACCACAACCTTTACTTTTATATGTAGTATGATTATTTTTGTTTGATAACATTTTTTATATTTTTAATTAGTTGTGGTTTAAAGATATATATGAAAATGATAATAAAATACATATAATAAAAAAATAAAATACTTATACTTAAAATTAGATTTTAAATAATTGGCCAGTTTTAAAGAATTCTGAATTTCAGTATTAACTTGTTACTTTGTAAACTTGTCATTAAATGAAATAAATATATCTACTAGTTCGTTTGTTGAACCATGAAGCATACAGACAAGGAGTCCCATTCTCTATAGGGTTTCAAGAAATCCGTCCGTAAAAATTATTAGAATTATAGTTCTAGAAACTGCCACGAGTCACGCTGGTTTACGTATTTACCACGTGAATTTAGCTGCATGTCAGTACTAAGTAGGGTGAAGTTAGTGATAAACAAATCAGTGCGAATTTAATTAATTGAAAAAGAAATTCACGCTATAATAATTGTATCTTTCTTTAATACTTAGTTATGTTATAAGTAAATGGGTTTTTTTTAACATTCCTAAATATAGATTTGAATATACTGGGGATTTCTCCCTCCCTCTTGACACATAGCAAATGCAGCACTCACTATTATTTTTTCAAATTTTCAGGACAACTTTTACATACAGAGATTGGACTCCTTGTTTATATTTTTCATGTGTTGAAGTATAAATAAAAACCTACACCAAGTAGGTAAAAATAAATTGACCACCGTTTACTCTTATTTATACAATAAATATACTGTCGCATTAATTTTTTGTTGCTATTCTCGATATTGTCACACATATACAATGTCCGCCAATAAACTCTTTGATAAATTTGAATATGTTATGTAAAAATATACTTTAGTCCAATAATTCAAGGTCATTAATTACTATTGTATGGCATTTGATTACTCGTGTAAACAGCTTTTATGATCATCTTCATCCAAATGTGCGATAAGTTATTTTGTCACATTGCACAGAAACTCTATTAATTGAAATACTTCACGTTTTAGTCATTTTTATTTTGCAAATGAAAAAAATATACATTTAGTACAAATTCATACCATTTGCTTAATCCATTCTCAAATGATATTGAGGTCAATTGATAACATGCTGACCTTTGAAGTGTATAATTAGGTCATCTTATCAATTTTTTATAAATTATAACCTTAGGGTCGGATTGACATTTAACCATAGATAATATCACCGCTCATCTTACACATACTTATTTTGATGAAGTCTATGTTTATCAAAAGTGGATAGAATGTTGTAAAATCTCCATTCCACTTCTCCGTAAGCTATATACAAAAGTAATCAAATACCTTACTTATTAATCGTGAGTCGAGATACTGTCACGTCCCAATTATTTTGATTTGGAAAATATACGCTAGCCCGAAATATAATATAAAAAGCAATATTTAATCTATTACTGTTTTGGGTGATGGTCAATCCATTTAGTTTCTTTTATATTTGACCATATCATTATAATTTTAAGACACAATAAGCCATTAAGGACCCATTATCATGATACTGTAACTATTTATGTGATTTATATTTTTATTTTAAAAGTGGTTAAGTATGGATAGTGATCCAAACATAGAATAGTATTTTATATATTCGGGCATAAGCCGATCTGCTATATTGAAAGTGTCATCATTTTAAATGTGTAAATGACACCTAATAATGGATATCCATTTTTGTATTTAATAACATTTTGGACCGGCAATTTCTTCACTCGTAGCAACACACCATCATACGTCATTATTGTAAAACCCAAAAATATGTATATACAATTTAAAAAATAATCGTAATTTTAAAAGTAATAATGCAAATTATGAAATCTATTGGCGGTGATTGGATTTCCCTAGTGGCTTGTTTTTAGAGCTTACGACAGACTGTTGCAGTACTTATTAGTTAACAGCAACATTAACAGTTCTAATTACTTTACCGTTTGTGGGTTTTTTATGTATACATAGGCTACGTGGTTGGCTTAATTGTTGACAGCGCCTAAATATCAATATTACAGTGCCGCAATATTAAAGTTTGACATGTTTCGTTACATCTAGTTATTTGTTCAAATTTCATATCTGACGATATTTATGGATAATAATATGATATGAAATTTTAATAAACAACTCTATGTATCAAAACCTGTCAAACTTAACATTGCGATGCTGTAAAATCGCGTTTCACACCTCAACATATTAATACCAATCCCTCAAATAGCGGTCGAAGCTTGAGGTATGATTTGCAGGGAACGTGATGGGTCGTGTCTCACAGCTTTCCAACCAAAGAGTTTTAATGAATCGCATGACATACCGGGAAGGTCTCATAGCTTATCGTGCAACGGCCCACTGTACAGCGACGGGTTGCGCTATGGGTTTTAGTGAGAAGTAGTCTCACAGTCCCCTGCCCGCCGTCGGGGGCGCGCGACGGTGGGGTCTCACAGCTTGCGCGGGCGCGTGAGGCGGCGCTTCTTGCGGTCGGGCGTGCCGGCGGCGGCGGCGGCGGGCGCGGCGTCGGCGGAGCGGCGGCGCGCGGGCGGCGAGGGCGCGGCGGGGGGCTCCACGGGCGTCTCTAGCGGCGCCGCGTCCTTGCTGCCGCCGGGCGTCTCCTCGCTGGCGTCCGCGCTGCTGTCCGCCGCCCACTGGAATTTGCAACGAATTTTTATCACCGACTGTACCAGCACTGAATTTACACTAGGGGCATTCGGGGCTAGTGCAGCAATTTTTTAGGGGCGCAAAAATATGGAGGGTGAGAAAAAATTCTCTTCGCGTATCGAAATGCGCTTTTTATTTTCCAAAAATTGATTATTGAGTAATAAAAAAATAACTAGTACATTTAAAAAAAATTGAAATCATTTATATAAAATATTTTTTTGATGCATAACAACTAAAATACTAAATATAAACATAAACCGCGTGAAAATTATTTAACACCAAGAACAGGCCCTCCTAACATCTGCTAATATTTATTCGACTCATTGCATTATTATATGAAAAAAAAAAAACTAACAAAAGATCATGTCATTGAAAAACTTGCGCTTGACATTTAATATAATTAAAATCATTACAGCGTAATGTAACTCAAATATTATAATTTTAGCTCCAAGAACATAATAACACAGACACGGTACCTGCGCGAGCGCCGGCGACAGGCGCAGCGACGCGCCGCACTCGGCGCACAGCGGCGGCACGGCGGGCGAGCGCGATCGCCAGTATTGCAACTCCGTTTTGCACTTATTTAGCTCCTGAAATTACATATGTTTCATTTTAATGAGGATTATATATATAAAAATATGTGCTATTATTCAGCCCTTTCGTTTCCCTCGAGGCGAGGGGGATCAGGCCACCATCAAACTGGCCAAGTACAGGTTGGCGGACGTCACATGTCTTTCGAAAACTTGATAGGTTCTTTTAGACATGCAAGTTTCCTCACGACGTTTTCTTTCACCGTAAGGCAAGTAGTAATCATGTTGATAATGATTCGCACATGAGTAGGTATGTCAATTGTGCAGGACCCGAGATTTGAACCCATTTTCCCCAAAGGAACGCGTCACTACTGGGCTACTACACCTGATGTATATTATGAATTATAAATAATTATTAATATGATATATATGAAAAATCCTTTATACTAATTTAACCCTCATAAGATCCCACTATCTGACCAATCAATGCAAGGGGTATTATGACTATAGTTATCCAAGCTAGTTAAATATGATTTAGCCAACACGTTTTTGAATTTCTGTTTGTTAATATTTTCAAAAATATTTGTGAGGCTTCCTGTATATAATTTTGTATTATCAGATATATACAGTATATACAATAAATTATAAATCTACCCATGTCGAAATTATAATATAATATACAAAATTAATTATATTAGAAGTAATTGGAGTAAATATACATATTTATTTGATTTGTTTTAATGATTATAATCACTATAGAGCAAAAAATTGATTCAAAATCAAATCAAAAACAGAGTCTGTACATAAACTATACTTTAAGAAATTGATCCTAAACCACAACATGTTCTATACAACAATAAACACAGCATAACAATATTGTTGAAATTATTAACTAAATTTTGTAAATTAACAACTTATTACTCGGGTCAACATTTAGGATACCTTTTACTACAAAGAAAAATATTTCATTCATTAGGGAAAATACAATAACTGGTCGCACCAAGAAAATTTTAATGATTTATTACACAAAAAGTATTAGAAACAGGGTTAAAAATGTACATAATTAACAATTTAGTGTGATAAAATCTCTCATTTTTATGGTAAAGTACAAACTTTAGTTTGTGCGTTAGTCGCTAAATAAAGAATACAAAATATAAAACAAGCAGTCTCTCTCTGCCTGTTTCTCCGCTTACTTCTTCTTAATATTTAATTTTTTTTTCTTTTAAATGTACATAGGGTTAAAAACATGCGAAGTCAGGATAAATCGCTAGTACAATTATATATTGCAACTCAAATCCCTATATTTATAAAAAAAATATATAGGTATTTAAAACAAATAAGTCAATTAAAAAACTCTAATCTAATAGGTATCCAATAAGAATTAACCTGTAGTAATGTTTGAAACTTGCGGCTGGTTTCCTCATTCTTCTTATCATAATCATCCAGTCGGTTGGCATACTCCAACGTCTGCTTTTGCTGTTCTGCGATCTGCTTTTGCTGTTCCGCAATCTGCTTCTGTTGAAGAGCCGTCTTGCGTTTACAACTCCTAAGATCACTGCGCAGCGCTGATAACTGATCATTATACCTGGAATATTTAGAAATACATAATCATATATATAAGGCATACTATTGCATTTATTAAACATGTAACAAAATTATGTGTTAGGGATATTAAGAATCATTAATGAATAATATTGATATACAAATACGTGAAATAATTTATGTATGATATACAACTAAGTTTAAACTTTAATCTATACATATAATAAAATTGTAACTAAGCCCAATCTGTACATAAGATATTTTTTGGAAAATCTTATCGAAATAAACATTATTATCGATACAGAGGCCGAATCTATAGTTTTTAGAATTTTTGTCTGTCTGTCTGTTACCGCATCACAGAAAAACCACTGGAGGGATTTTGATGAAATTTGGTATGTTGATAGCTGGTTATCCGGGTCAACAAGTAGGATACTTTTTACCGATGGAAAATATCTCATTTCTGAGAAAAAATACAAAAACTGCAATGTAAGAGTATACTAATATGTAAAACCTAAGGATTTGGTTTTTGGTCATCTGAACGCCGGCGGAGCCGCGGGCAATGCTAGTTTACTTTAAAAATAAGAGATTTTGGTAAAACATACCACCTTCCATTAAATGCCTGCATTTGCTATGCATTTACATAAATGTAAAATGGATATATGTATAGTTTGAGCAGTATTAGTTATGTCACCAAACTTAAGAATAAAATATCTAGAAATACATAACAGTTTCTATAAGTCCACTATGTTAGGCAGCTTCATAACCATACCTTACATATGAACGCTATCTTCAATATAACTCATTGACGAAACAAACTAGTTGTATAGCCTATATAAGGAATGGATATATCACAGTATAAAATCCATACAGTAGATAGGTAGGCTTTAGCCTTAAATGTAAGGGTTGCAAAAAATATCATTTTTCATGTCAACCAGTTTTGAAGTTAAACGGCTATAGTATCGTATCTTGTAGGTCATTGCGTCAACACTAAAGCCGTCTCCCGACTGTCATATGACTTATTATAAAAGTACTTATGACAGTCGAGAACGACTCACCAGCATCTCCCCTCACGCGCGCACGAAGCCTCGTCTCGACGTTAGACGACTATTAGTAAATTTTGCAGGAATGGATTTAGGTTCGATGGCGCCATAGGCCAAGTCGATATGGCCCCTCTTTTTCTTACGTAAGAGTATAATATATAGATTAATTACTTTAACAAAGAAATTCTATCCCTGAAATGATACTCTGGTATTATGTTTAGATTGTAAGAGCGCAAGAAAATAAACTTCAATATTTGGTCTTTCCAATCGATTTTTAATTTTTTGTCGTCTTAAAAATTTTGTCGCCCCTCAAAATTTGCCGTCCTAAGCCCGGGCCCGTAGATTTGCTACTAACACTGTCGCAATAGTAAAAGAGACAATACGCACTTCTTCATGCCCTGTTTAATGCGATGTATTCTTTTCCTCAACACCATATTGCTTTGCGGCGGTGGCGGGGACGGCGGCAGGCTCTCCTCCATGTACATGTTGAGGGAGGACACACGCCGCTCTGACGTGGACGCGCCCCCCGCCTGTTGGGACGACGACTCGAACCCACTCGGAGGCGGAGAGTCTAAGCATATGTATGACTTACTGCTCTCTCCAGCTGGAATGATGTACGTTTGAATGTTGCTTTTATTAAATTTTAATAAATAATCGGTACAACCATGGAAACTCAAAAGATAGACCTTTTTTTTAACTCACGTTTAAGTATCAGCCCCCCCCCCAAAGTGCGTTCACCTTGTCGTGGAAGGAGAGGGGTGGCTCAGTAGTGCCCGACAATCCAGTCGGGCGCGAAGCAAGAAACGCACAGGGAGGTGGCCCACTTCGGTGGGCGGCGGAAGGTGGCCCTCTTCGGAGGGCGGTGTACCATGCGGGTTACTCCTGGTATTTCTTTGATAGCAGAGTGGACCTTGGAGCAACCCCATGGTTGTTGTGGTCTGCTTCGGCAGACCTGCCGTCGGGGCGTAGTAGTTGAATGCGTAAGCGATCCTGCGACGCCCCATGTGGAAGGTTGTGTTTGGTTTCAGTGGGTAGTACTGGCTTTGCCGGTGAGTCCCACACCTCGTGCGCAAATGCATTTCCCAACGTCAAAAAAGGGTACTTTTATTTTAGAGAAAGAAAGAAAGAATTAGGTTTTCGCTCAAAAAAAATTAAAACGTACCTAAGAACGCACTCCGAGCGAAGCAAGGGTAAGTCGCTATAGTCTATAAATAAAATAATATTAACCTTGTCTACGCCATATGTTAATCATTAAAAAATAACCGTTTATAGCATAGCATGGCTTAACATCAAGATGTTCCACAAAAATTAATCATATTTTATTTATTGTGTCATGTTACAATATGTAGACTGTTTATTAAAAAAAGACATCAATTTCTAATGAAATATATGTATGTATGTACATAATATGTTATAGAATTTTTATACAACAAATATAATACCATTACCTTTTTCGTAGAACTTTAGATCAAGATACGAGTAACTTTAGACATAAAGCATAATATTATTAATTACTATTAGAATAATAATATGTAAAATTAATTTAAAATTATAAGCAAGTTTGCACTAGAAGTAAACATAACATTTTTCGTGTTCGATGCTTCAATTCGAAAAACAACAATTAAAATACTGCAGTGTAATGGTTATACTCGTATGTGTTAATCTCTATATTCGTGTGCATTTTAATGATTTTATTTTAGACCGTTAGCTTATTTTAAAATGAGATTCATTCAAACCGAATTATAAACTAAAATATTTATACATTTCCTGAAATAAATAGAGCGGTTGCCAGCAATAAGTAAAATCACGGTAACATAGTTTCATTATTAACATTATTATTTGTAATGAATTATTATAAAAAATATACATAAGTATATCTCGATCACAAATTCATACTATGATCCGTACATGATTCAACTATCAAACGTGCCGTATTGTATTTAAAGCATTAATATTAGTGCTTAGTATGTGGGTGTCCTTTAATTGCTTTTAAGAATTGTCCTACTTCAAGGCGGAAATAAGAGCTAATAAAAATTACTTAAACATGCATGCAGCGCATTCCATATGAAACGTCCAAGTCAGCAAAAACAGTGAATTGTCACATGTAATCTATACATATAATAAAATTCTAACTCAGTCGAATCTGTGCATTAAATATTTTTGGAACATCTTATTGAAATAGTCATTATTATCGATACAAAGTCCGAATATATAGTTTTTAGAATTTTTGTCTGTTTATCTATCTGTTTGTCTGTTACTACATTACGGAAAAACCACTAGAGGGATTTTGATGAACTTTGGTATGATAATAGCTGGTTATCCGGGTCAACATATAGGATACTTTTTACTGCGGGAAAATATCTCTGAGAAATTTATACTAAACGTTAAAACGTAAGTAGGGACGACCCCGAGCGGAACGAGAGTGAGTCGCTAGTCTTCTACGAAAATAAAAATCAATTGCCAAATGTATGTAAGCTAATTACTTCAGAACGGCTGCACCTATTTGGCTTATTATTTTTTTTGTTGTGTGTCAGGACAAGGTTTGTATGGAAATGTTTTAAAAATTGTACGGAAAAGTGAAAAATTTCATTTAAATTTCCATATCAAAAAGTGAGTTGACAGATCGACGTTCAGTTGTTCCGAAATCCGAAACCGAAAAAAAGTCATTTGTTGTTTGGGCTGTTTTGTGAAAAAAAGTAGTAAAAAAAGTTTTAGAACTTCATATTTTTAAAAATACCAGCGGCTGCAACTAATAAGTACGACCCATTTATTAACATAAGTGATAATCCATACTAATATTATAAAGAGGTAAAGTTTGTAAGTTTGTGAGGTTGTAGGGGGTAATCTCTGGATCTACTGAACTGATTTAGATGAAAATTGGTAAAAAGATAGTTTGAGATCCTGGGAAGGATGTAGGATCCTTTTATCCCGGAAATCATCCCTTAAGGGGGGTGGAAATGGGGATGCAAGTTTGTATTTAGTAATGACTTATTAAGGTATGAAAAAAATATGATAATTTTGTAACTTTAGGTGACCATAACTTTTGTCTTCTTCATTTCCTAAAATATATTTTATATGTATATTTAGATTCCCTATCATCTCTCCTATCCAAAAATACCACCACTCCTCCAGAAGCCGCGTCCCATATACTAAACATGTGCTATACCAGCAATTGAACGCGGACGAAGTCGCGGGGTACTGATAGTAGTACTTTTATATTTTTAGTATGCAAAATTACTTAAAATTGTTATTCAGTTATGAATTATTAAGATTGTTCCGATAAGGTTTAATTAGGTGTTGTTTAAGCAGATATTATTAATTCGATTTCCGACTGTGGCAAGTAGAAGCATTTATTGCTTTGACGCTATTAGTGTTCAATGTTCCAGACCCAGAAACGTTTGTTAATGGAGCTCGACCCTAATTACTGAGACAATCAACTTTTTATGAATTTATTATTATTTAACTGTTACAATAATAATGACAATTTGTGCCATGATGAACCCAAAACTTATCAAATGTGGCAATTTCACGTTATACGTAAATATTTTTTTGTTATATTATTATGTTACCCGCAAACAAACATTAAAGTTTTATTTCATTTTTATATCAATCAATATATTTATAATACATGTACATGCGAAAGCACGAACTACGGCAAGTATTAAAACAGAAAATATAGCTTTTTGTTAAAGTGTTATATGGTCCAAATTGTACGTTAAGGGATGTGCGGGGATTTTTTTAAGCTAGTGTTCGCCCAGTAGTCATTATTCGACCAGAATCATTATTGAGGCAGGCAGGCAAAATATATATAAGAATTTACAAAAGTTTATTAATAAAACTAATGCCCGATTTCACCAACATCACCTAAGTTTAAGGGATCCCCTAAGCATGGTTAGGGGGCTGTTAGGGGACAGTTTCTGTTTCAGCGACAGTTAGGGGTCACCTAAATATTAAAAGGCCCCCTAAATTTAGGTGCTCGAAATATGGCCTTAAAGACAATCGTAAAACGAAATTTTATTGAGGAGCTACTTTAGGGGACTTTTAAGCTTTATTGGCGTCGGGACGTGACGACCCCACCGCCCGCTGGTGGGATAATCTAGTGACAGAGATTATTCCACCAGTGCAATCAGTCAACCAAAAACTGTGGTAGTGCCATGCTAGTTACCTTCGGGTAGCAGCCGAATGGGCCGGCACGTCCCGTTAAGTACCACTCTCTCACAGAAGTCCGGCGTAAAGTGGCAGCTTTGCTGTCGCGTTTCGTTCGGTAAGTGAGAGTCCCGGGAGGCCCACTCCCCACCCCTCCCCCACACCACTAAATTTATGACAGTGCGAAATTTGGTCAGTCTACCCCAGGAGGGTACCACCAGCGCACATCGCGGTGGAGAATCCCTCTCTGGGCATCCATGTTCAGCTCGTACACTACCTGAGCGTGGGTGCCCAGGCTGCCCTCCGAATTCTGGGGGGGGCAATTTTGCGCTCTCGTCTTCTGTTCGGGGCAATCGGAGCAGGCAACATAAGGCTACCCTTTCACACTTGCTGTGGACTTCTGCAAACATAAGGGGACTAAATTCCAACTTGAACGCCGTCCACTTCCACCTTGAGACGGCGAAGCCGGCCTTGCTCTTCCTTACCGAGACGCAGATATCGTCCCCGGCTGACACCTCTTTCCTCTCTTACCCGGGGTATATCTGGAGCATTCCTTTGTACCGCGGGCTGGAGTGTGCGTGTACGTCAGAGAGGACATCTGCTCTCGTCGCCTCAGCAGCCTTGAAGGGCGGGACCTATCCATCCTCTGGCTACGTGTAGACTGCGACGACCATCCGCGAATCTACGCGTGCCTGTATAGGTCTCATAGCGGCAATGCCGAAAACTGACCGACTCGTTGAGCACATGCAAACGGCTACAGATTCCGTGCTCCAGCAGATCCCATCCGCAGAGATCGTGATTCTCGGCGACTTTAAACGCCCATCATACTGAATGGCTTAGATCCCGTACCACCGATCATGCGGGAGATCTGTTCACGATTTCGCATTGGCATATGATCTGACACAACTGGTTACCTCGCCAACGCGAATCCCTGATGTGGAAGATCATACACCTTCCCCTGTTGGACCTTCTGTTAACCTCTCATCCGGACGGCTACCTGGTCTCCGTCGATCCTCCTCTTGGGCTCGTCGGACCACTGTCTTGTCCGGAGTACAGTGCCAGTCTCGCGCTTAACACGGCCTCGCTTTGCGGGCTGTCGCCGTGTATGGCATTACAGGTCAGCGGATTGGGACGGGATGCGGTCATTCTTTGCGTCCTACCCATGGGGGCAAATTTGCTTCTCGCCAGATGATCCAGACGTCGTTGCTGATTCTGTCACCGATGTGGTACTTCAGGGTATGGAACTATTTATTCCGTTCTCTGCAGTGCCCATCGGAGGCAAATCCCAGCCTTGGTTTGGTCACTCCTGCAAGATGGCATCTCGCCGAAAGCTGGAATGCTACCAAGCCTGGGCCGTCGCGTCGGCGTCTAGTGATGTAAATACTAGCGCCTTTAAAAAGGAGTATAACTTTGCCTCCAGGTCCTTCAAAAGTAGTATTGCTAATGCGAAGTTACGAAGCACATCGGCAGAATTGGCGAGAGATTGGGGCGTCTCCCTTCGGGAACACGTGCGTTTTGGTCTCTCTCCAAAGCTGTTTTAGGAATTTCTGTAAGCCTTCTTTTCCACCTCTGCACACGGAGAATGACTCGCTGGCTCATACCGCGAAGGAGAAAGCCGAACTACTGGGCACTCTCTTCGCGTCCAATTCGACTCTGAATGACCAAGGAACTCACCACCGATAATCCCGCGGTGTGATACTACGATGCCGGAAGTTCAGTTCCGGCAAAGTGCAGTTCGCAAAGCACTTCTTTCCTTGGACATTCATAAGTCGAGTGGGCCCGATGGCATCCCTCCGATCGTGTTGAAGACATGTGCTCCGGAGTTGGCACCGGTCTTAACGCGTCTTTTCCGGTACTCCTATTCATCAGGCGTAGTCCCGAAATCCTGGAAGGCCGCTTTAGTGCACCCGATCCCAAAAAGGGCAACCGCTCGGATCCGTCCAATTACAGGCCTATAGCCATTACCTCCTTGTTCTCTAAGATAATGGTGTCCATTATCAACTGCCAAATCCTGCGGTACCTAGAAGAGCACCGGCTGATTAGCGGACCGCCAGTACGGCTTCCGTCGAGGTCGCGTCAGCCGGTGATCTTCTAATTTACCTGACACATAGATGGGGCAGAAAGCAGTTGAGACCAAGGGGGAGGCGCTTGCTGCCAGTCTGGACATAGCGAAGGCCTTTGATCGGGTATGGCACAAAGCGCTTTCTTTGAAGCTACCTTCCTATGGGCTCCCCGAGAAATTTTGCAACTGGATCACAGCTTTTTGGCAGATCGGAGCATTAAGGTCGTTGTCGACGGTGCTTGCTCTGATCCTAAATATGTCAATGCTGGTGTTCCACAAGGCTGTGTACTGTCTCTACTCTGTTCCTTCTGCATATCAATGACATGTTGCAAATTAGCAACATTCATTGCTATGCAGACGATAGCACTGTGGATGCGCTGTACACTGGCCCGCGCTAATATTTCTCGGGGAATACGTCGACGAGAGCCGGAACAAACTTGTGTCTGAAGTCGAATCTCTGTTAACCAAAGTCTCGGATTGGGGTCGGACTAAACTTAGTCCAATTCAACCCCCAAAAAGACACAAGTTTGCGCGTTAACCGCTAAAAAGTCGCCATTTATCGTAGCTCCTCAATTTGAGGACACTCCTCTGTCTCCCACAGCCAGTATCGGAATACTTGGCGTCGACATCTCGAGCAACGTCCAGTTCCGTGGTCAATTGGAAGGTAAGGCCAAACTGGCCTCAAAGAAGCTTGGTGTGCTCAGCAAGGCGAGACAGTACTTCACGTCGCGTCAGCGTCTTATTCTTTATAAGGCGCAAATTCGGCCCCACATGGAGTACTGTTCTCATCTTTTGGGCGGGGAGCTCCCCAGTACCAGCTAATTCCATTTGACCGCATTCAACGTAGGGCGATTCGAGTTATCGACGATCAAGCTCTCTCCGATCGGCTTGATCCTTTAGCTCTGCGTAGAGATGTTGGGATCACTCTGCATCTTCTACCGCATCTATCACGGGGAGTGTTCTGAGGAATTGTTCGGACTGATCCCGGCTGCTGAATTTCACCATCGGACATCGCGCCAAAATAGTAAATTCCATCCACACCATCTCGATGTCCAGCGTTCCACACAGTGCGATTTTTAAGCATTTTTTCTGCCCGCACAAACCACTCTGTGGAACCAGCTATCGCCGGCGGTCTTTTCCGAACCGCTACGACCTGGCCACCTTCAAGAAGAGAGCGTATTCCTTTCTTAAAGGCCGGCAACGCGTCTGCAAGCCCTGCGGTGTTGCAGATGTCCATGGGCGGCGGTGATCACTTTTCATCAGGTGAGCCTCCTGCCCGTTTGCCCCCTTAGTCCCATAAAAAAAAAAAAAAAAAAAAAAAAGCTAGGGATCCCATACGTAGGTGGTAGCTTATGGGTTGTTGGTGAAATCGGGCATAAGGCTCGTTAATAGCTACCAAAAAAAAGAAAAGAAAATCGGTTGACAAATACGGCACCAAAAAAGGTACTGAACTATTTTGTCTTTGCCTATTTATATATATGTCGCAGCCAACTAGCTTAATAGTTAATTAGCCGTTCGATTAACAGCCTAGTCTCTTAACTAAACGGCACCGTTCAAATAGCGGTCTGAAAAAACAACTGCTGTAGGATAGGTATATTTATTTTTAGTAGCTTTCTAAGATAAAAACGTTTCTAAGATAAAAAAGTTATCAAACAAAGAAACTTCTTTGTTTGATAACTTTTACTTTGGAAATTTCGACAAAGAACTCTATGGCCGATCTGAGAAGACTGTCAAATCTAAGAATAAATTGAAAATCATGGTGTAGATAGCTTTTGTTTGTATGTATTTAACGACCCACTGCTGGGCATGGACCCCCTCAATACGAAGGGGATCAGGCCATAGTCCTACACGCTGGTCAACTGGAATTCGCGGACTTTACATGTCTTTCGACTACTTGCTAGGTTCTCTCAGGCATACAGAGTAGTCAGACATATAGGTTACCTTACGATGTTTTCATTCACCGTAAGACAAGTGGGAATCATGTTGAAAATAATTAGCATATGTGTATAAATATCATAGGTTTGCACCTATGATATTTATATTGAGGTTTCGTCCCGCTTCACTCAGTTTCCCAAGCGAGCGCGTTACCACTGGGCTACCACTACCCCTAATAACTTATCTTAAAACTAATTTTGAAAAACTAAGGGGAATTTTTTTATTGACGTTGTAATGAAAACCGTATTTAAAAAATTCGTTGATTCCTATCCCGTTTTTATTTCTATAGTAGTGGCATCAATAAACATCCCATTAATGGTTAAGCTAAGTTCGCAATAATGGCATATACTTTAATTAAAATTCTCTTTTTTATAAATGATCATTTCACACAGAACCTAAGGATCTTAGGAGTTATATGATCTGTTATCATACATATTTTATGTATAGTTATAATATGTACACAATATTATCAGTTATCTTAATAAATTTTCTTGTTTTAAACTGTTTATTTGATAAGAATGTAATGTAAATAACTCCCATCAAATCCCAACTATGTAATAAAGTAGATTGTATTACAATAACAATAAACCCATCATCATCAATAAAACCATCATTTTATTTTACCAAGCGGGGCTACAATTGAATAAATAATATGAAAAGAAAAACAGAATAAAGGTGTATCATATAAAAATAATTATGAAGCAAATAAAAATATAAAACTGACCTTTATTCTATTCTTTAGAGTTATTGCTTTTTAAAATATGTAATTTAATAGTTAATGTTTATAATTATTTCTGTATTACACAACATTTATATATCCTTGTTAGGGTAAAATCATTAAGTACTTACGTGAAAAAGCTGTAGTAATATCAAAGAAATCTGTGCCAAAATATGTGATTTCTGGCAAATTAGGTTCAATGTGCTCCTTGAAGTACTCCATGGCCATTGTAGTTAGATCAAAAAGCTCATCAGTTACTTTATAAGGCCTTGCAAGCTTTGTCGTAGTTTTTAAATATGACAAAATACTGTACACTTCATCAAGAATCTAAAATATAATTTCTTGATTGAATGTCTAAAGTTAAATTGACATGTAAATAAGTATACATAAACAAAATAAATACAATTATCATCAAGTTAATAAAATATGACAACATACCTCTCCTGGGAAAAAACAACAATGTTTCCGTTCAATATGCTTTCCAAATGTCATTTGCAATAAACTTAATCTCATATGCAGAGTTTCAATGATATCAGACTCACAAGCCAAAGGATGGCTCCTTCTTGCAGACTCTCTTCTAGGCATTTTTGCTTTTATTGCTTGGAATCTATGTAACATTTGGTTTTGTAATCTTTGAAATGTAGAATTTAATATACTACTACATACAGTATTGAATTGCCGGTTTACCTAGAATGTTATAAAAGTATGAATAATTTGCTGGTACAACTTTTAAGGTGCTAATTTTTATTAAAAAAAATTCAATGCTGTATAAAACTTATAGTTCTAATACATAAAAGATATATTAAATTTATCTTGAGTAAGTATACATTATATTTTAAAAAACAAAATAGGTAGAAGAAATTGTTTGATATTAACCATTTTCAAAATGGAAAACATAAACCATCTTTCCATATTTTTTTTAGCACACATTTTTTTATTACATCTAATTACGCACAAATATATTCACCATTCTAAGATGGGATACGCTTTTGAATCCCAAATAACGAAATATCTTTTCTAAAACTTCAATTGGTAAATCCAGTAAGTTAGTGGTGTATATCTTGGGTGCCGATACTGTAGCATTTTTGGAACTATTATGTGGCGAGAAGCCCCCGGGGAGTAAGGCACTTGAGTGGCGTGTTACCCGCGCCACCGTCACAGGCTCTGCGTGAGATGGCCCGGCGCCATCGCTACTCCCATTACCTCCTCCGATACTACTCATCTGCCTAGTCGACACCATCTTGGCCGATTATAATTATGAGTACTTCTGAAAAAACTTTCTCCTATAACAACTTCTCTTCTAAATAGATGAATTATGAAAACTTCAATATGAGATTCATTTTCCATCACCATACGAAATAATCTTAAAAAATGTATACAGATTATTTGTTTAAATAAGCATATGTACGTTTCATACTAAAAGTATTTTTTAATTCAATGCACTACCGAACCGAACAATTCTAAAATGGTGGCCATAGCTGCCTAGGTCAATTTAGTGGATACAGATATGCATCAATGCAAATGAAAATATTTCAAATATCACACTCACTCAAGAGTTCATGCACATGATTTGTTGCTTTAATATCTTTAATTAATTTAACAGTAATTTTACAAGCAATAGTTACAAGAACGCTATGCTTTCACAAGATTCAAGGAATATTTTTTGTTTGTTAGAGCACAGACTTCATTAAAATTATATTTGTAGTGATGGAGATTGAAACGTTTCACTCTTTACGTTCTTTTCAATCTTATTTCATTCGGAACTATGGATCGACAAGGCTGCCAACAATCACATAAAAAGTAGTTTTACAACCTCGACAGAGCAGTAATAAAGTGTTTATGGTATAATCAGCACAAGTTAACTGTCTACTGTTTTGACATCTATAATTTCTTTATGTATATTTTTTATATTCTCTACATCTACTAAACTTTCTATTATACTTAACTGTTCTATAAGGCACACTTTTTACTTAAAACATTGATTGATATTCTATCTTTTAATCGCTTTTAATGCTGTCCTAATCATCGATTATCAAAGATCGAATTTCTAAATCGATTTATTTTCATTTTATTAAAATTGCAATCTCTAATATGTCACTGTCTGTCTGTCATCATAGATGACAAATAAAATCTGTCATAACTCATAAGACATTGTTGTCAATAGTTTTATTATGGCTAATATCAGGCAGCAGCGTAATTTTGTAAAATTGTACATATTTAAAATATTGTTTTCATTCTAAATATACACGATGTACCCACGTTGCGGTAGTAGTGGCTCTATTCAAAATATCCACCAAACGCCATCATCTTCAAATCATAACTCAGGTTTAATTTTTAACAATATCGTATGTTTATTTAATTAGAATTTTATTAATTGAACTATTTTTGCTTTTCATAGAAGATGAAGATGATAGTGGTGATAATAAAGCTTCAGCACTAAGCTTCAAAGAAAGACGCAGAGAGGCTCATACACAGGTACTATTTCTAAATATTAAAACTCTTATCTCCACTTTTTTAAAAGAATGACATTTTAACCTAACTTAGATAAGCTAAATTATAAACTATATAACGCATTATAAATAAAAATAATAATCTAATATCCATAAAATTTTGAGTAAGTATATTAGCTAACTTATAAAATAACAAGCGACTCACCCTCGGCTCGCTCGGGATTGTTCCTACTTACGTTTAAGGTTTAGTATAGATTTCTAAGAGATGACATGTTTCTGACAATAAAAAGTATCTTAAATGTTGACCCAGAAAAAAAAGCTATAATCAATAGTCATACCAAATTTCATCAAAATCTCTCCAGTGGTTTTTCTGTGATGCGGTAACAGACAAACAAAAATTCTAAAATCGACAGATTCGGTTCGATGTATCGATAATAATGTCTATTTCAAAAAGATTTTCCAAAAAATGTTAAATGTACAGATTTGGATTAGTTACAATTTTATTATATGTATATATTTATACTTTGTTAGATTTACGCGAATATTTGATATTTTCAATAAAACGGATTTTTTCGCCTATTTATTTTGATTTTTGGTTTCTGACCTTTCAAATGCTTTACAGCAATCACGATCACGAGAGAGACAGGGTCTCTATTTGAAAATATAGTTTAATTTAAAATGTAAAACAATTTTTATTAATGACACATTTTTTATAATATTTTATTTGAACATATGTTACTAGGCAGAACAGAAAAGAAGGGATGCTATAAAAAAAGGTTATGATTCTTTGCAAGAATTAGTACCTACGTGCCAACAGACTGATGCATCAGGCTATAAGCCAAGCAAAGCTGCTGTGAGTATTATAATCCTCTTAATGAGCCGTTGGATATTGTCATGTTCAACTTAACAACTTACATTAGGAAAAAATCATTTATGAGCTTTTGTATGTTTAGTAATCAAATATTAATTTTAATAATACAATCAGTAATACAAATACCTTTTATATTATAAACAATCTACTCTATTTTTAATTTGCAATCCTTGAGATATATTTGATGAATGTACATAATTCAGTTCCACTATCTTACCCTTGAATAAAAGTTACTATTGGAACCAAACCAACTAATATTTATAGGTGAATTATGTCACAATCTATTACTATTCATTAAATGATTAAACAATACTCAAATGCTTTTATATGTAATAATACTCTAGAGTAGAGTTAAACAGAATATATATATTGTTTTAAAACAACTCTCAAATTAATATTTATGATATGACAAAAAAATTATTATTTTAACTTGGTATCTTACTAGTACCCCTGAGTTACTGACCGTACTCAAGCATTTTCAAGTAAAAGAAAGTTTATTGATGGGTACTGCCATCTATCCCATATTTCTCAATGAGGGCTTCAATCTTTTTATATTTTATAAAAATAATATATAATTTATATACATCACAGGTTTTACAAAAGTCTATAGACTATATTCAATATTTGTTGCAACAAAGAAGAAGGCAGGAGGAACAACGTAATGCTCTACGTAAAGATGTCATTGCTCTTCGTATTATGCAAGCTAACTATGAGCAAATAGTCAAAGCACAGCACTCTATTCCTGGACATAACGAACAAAGGTTAAGTGACCAAGACAAATTTCAAGTGGTAAGCTATTTACTTATTTGTGATTTACTGAAGTATTCTACAAGACTACCAATTTTATGTCTTTATGCATAGTGAAAAGTTTGAAAGCCATACATTGAAATAGCTTAAGGCCATAATGTTATGGAAAAGTAACAGATATAAGAGAAATGAAATCCAAAGAAAGGGCATCGATAAGGCCTGATTTCCGCTCCCGAATAACTATAAAAATTATGTTGTACGATTTGATCTTTTCTTTACATATTCTGAAAGTAGAATGTGCCTGACAAAAAAATATATTTACGAGAGAAAAAAACTACAGTAAATACTTGTGAGACACTAAACTAATTTTTGTTCAAAATGAGGCGCGGGATGGAAGCACTGTAATTTTTAAATATATTGTGTGGTAACATAAGAACATTAAAATAAAAAAGATAGTTCCCTGACTTTCTTAAAACTTTTATCTCTAATTATATAAAAAGATTTAATAGAACATTTGGTCCTGCCTAAATAGAAATAAACACAGGTAAAGCCCCAACTGGTAGCTATTTTAAGTATTTTATGACGCAGTTTATTAAGAGGTTGTGTAGCTATTAAGAGATCATGAAGATCTGTCCCAGCACGGCGTAAAAGCTTGAATTCCTCAAACAGTAGCCATTTTTATACATTTGCAATAATGATAATGATGTGTTACTAGTTAAATAGTAAAATTGATTGAAAGTTTATATGTGCATTAACCACAAGAACTGAGAAAACTACATTCTGCATTGACATCATTATATTTGATCAAACAATTTGTCAAAACGATAAAAAAAATTCATTTATCGAAGTTATACTTCTTTTAGAGGTTTAGAAAAAAATATGAGAATAAAATTTTTACACAGCTGACAGCCAAAAAAACGACATGATAAAGTTAGCTGATAACTGTTTGTCGTAAACCGTTGTTAGTGTCTAAAAAATAATATAGAATATTATATTCTTTCCTTAAATTATGTTCTATAAATATCTTCTTCTTTTCCCTGCCCGTTTCCCAATCACTTGGGGTCGGCGCAGTACATCTTCTGTACTCCTGAAAGAATTTGGCAAAAGTTTTACGACCGGCCGCCTGCCTGACGTCAATTCTCCTTGGGAATTTTCTAATATACACCTGTTCCTCAAATATTCATTATTCTTATTTAATTTATTTTATGACAATTTTTAATAGTATGTAGTAATAGTATGTGCTAAACTTTTATTTCTGTTTAGTAAGTTTTGTATAATCTTAATGTTATTTTACACGTAATTACAAATGCCCATGTACACAACAAGTTTATATTAATTAACCAATAGATATGTTTATTATATTATGTTTATCCTATAATACTCAGCCCAAGGCGCCAGGTTATACAGGGCGACGCGCGTGCCAACTCAACTTAACTATTTAATTTGTATACTTATTTTTATCGATCCAAAGGAAAACTAGACTCAGCGTTTTATCGTATCACTCACTAAATAATTCTACATATACGTTTTTTTAATTGTAATGAAATAAGTATACCTAAAAGGGCGGCAAAGGCATGACTCGCCGGGGGCGCCCAGATGGCTAAGGCCGGTCCTGAGCATTGCTATCTAGTTTCCAGTGATTAATGATTGTTGTTTGGTTTCAGGATGTAACATATCCTAAATGTGGACATACATATTAATTACTAAACATACCAAGTTACTTCATTTACCATAGAAATATCATTAGATTACCATTCTATACCTATCCATTGATAGAAAATCGTTTCTTCAGGACGTGAGGCATCTTCGGAAGACTATCAAATAGTATTCGTATTTCCACAGTCTATAGCAATCGCCAAAATACAAATTATCTCTTTACCAATTTCATCGATATGGGCTCAGGAAATCGCTTTAGAAAATGTTACAAACACACAGTCACATACTGTATTATAAACATGTATTAGTAAGGATAATAAAGGTTCTACAATTTAAAAATTTGCAATAAAATTCTCTTATAGTTTCAGGGTATAATGGACAAGCTTTTTGAGTCATTTGAATCGGTTCCAACAAACGATTTTGCAGAATTTTCCGCTGGTGTTTTCAATTGGCTCGAAGAATACTGCAAGCCTCAGTCTCTACGAACTTTGGTTCATGGAGTTTTGCGGGAACAAAACTATACGCCATAGTAATAAATTTTACATCTGTATAAATTTTAAAAGGGTATTTGGCTATTGTTATTAGATTTGTAATGTGTAGTTTATATCATATATTTTTTATTATATAATATATTAGCATTAATTCTTATACATATATATCTTTGTTGTATATTGTATTTTACTGTATAATAGTAAAAAGATTTTTTGGTAATTATGTATCAAATTTTCGTGTTTCGATCATAATTTCTCCCACTTAGTTTATTAAATAAATTGAGAATTCCACCCGCTTCGGCTTCGTCCTCCTTATATATTACGACGCCACATGATATCGTTTCATATATATGTGCCTGCAAAAAAATACATACCAAATAAAATCTCATTGAGACGAGCCATCTATGCGAGAGATATCATAGTACAGCTCGTGTGAGCGAGAGCGCGGACACTACGGCACTCTCACACTCCGGCGGCACGACGCGGGAGTGGCGGCGCGGGACTTCCCTAACTCCGGACTGTTATTCAGGCTTACTAAACAGAAAGATTCAATAACTAAACTTGGCCCGATCCGGGACTCGAACCTAGGACCTCCGGATGTACAGCCGTACATGCTAGCCACTACACTGCCGAGGCAGTTTTTTTTGTTTTGAAAAAAATATGTAAATAACATCACTATATTATTTATAGTATTCATAACTCACCTGCCAAGCGAGAAACGAACGAGCTAGGGTGTCTAGTTACTATTAATAATTAAAACTGAAGTGCCTTTAGAATTATATTATAATTACAAAATAAGAAGCTGGTGGCATATGTCCGGATGTAAGATTTGTTAATAACTCGGTCCATGTCTATCGCCTACAGATTTTGATTGTTTTAGAACTAAAGCATGATTTTTTTACCCATTTTGTTAATTATTTCGTCAACCGTAGAGTGTAGCTATCTTGCGGATCCATTGTACAATCAAATCTAATAAATTATGTATATAATATAACTTCATACAACCAAGCCGTTAAATAGTTACAACATTACTGTGATAATGATTATATTTTATTGGCGTCGAGTAGATTCCTTACCAATTCCAGAACTAATTTACGACCTATAACATCACTATAAAAGCTAAGATCAAGTACCTATAGTCGATAAATTAGTACTAATACTGATAAGTAAACAGTACTAGTATAGTATTATATGATCTGTGGTAGTACTGTAAATTGCTTTGGTTAGTTCCGAAAACTGCCACTAGGGAAGCTCACCTACCTATATATTTTTCAATGATAATATAATCTATACATACACGTATATAATAAAAGATAATATATGTATATAATAAAAGTGTAACTGATCGCTGTCTGTACATGGAAGATATTTGAGAAAAACTATTATTGGGGGTCTTTGTTACCGCAATAGAAGCCAAAACAATGCTTTTTTTTTAATTTTTTGTCTGTTTGTCTGAGCATTTATGCGCGCTAATTTTAGAAACAGCTTAACCAATTTGGGTGCGGTTTTTACTAATGTATTGAAGTAAGCCTCACTTCACATTTAGAATTTTTTCTTACAATATAAATGTTTTATTTCAATCTATTCATAAATAAAAGAGTATGTAAATTTAAAGAATCACCGAGGGACGAACCCGAGTGAAGTGACGGTGAGTCGGTAGTACGATAATATTTACAGAATGTTAATAATATTACGCTAATAATGATATTTTTATAAAAAAATACATTTAAAAACTTTGAATTGTTAAATGTTTTATTTGTATATATTATAATTACGCTATTTACTAATAGTTACTGTTATAAAGGGTATTGTTATTTTTTATAAAATACTTAATAATTATTATTCTATTGTCATTGTTATATGTACCTAATATATAAAAAGTTAAACATATCTTAGACCCTAGTAAAAATATTAATTAAATTGTAAAAACATACATATAAGAAATGTATTATAAAACTTAAAATAAAAAATAACAACTTGCAGTCATTCTATTGAAATATTCTAAGTAAAAAAGTGTCAAATTCAAATATATTTTCTCTGATAAACATATAGCGTTAGCAGTTTATTTTTTTTATTTTAAGAATTTCATCCGCAAACAAACTAAGAATTTTTTTACCTTATAATTCATTCTATCTGTTAATAATGATGATATCTGTTAATAAATCGACCCTACGAATTTGGATAAAAAAATTGTAACTAAATCAATGACCAATTTTTTACTAATAGTTATATATCTCTAAGGAATTGTAATTAAAATATTTTTACTTATTAAATATGATTTGTTTTATTTAACTCCTCTTTTAGATCAATTATAAATTAATACAATTTTTTTCGCATTAACAAAAATTGAAATTCCAGACAGTGAAATATGAAGTGATTTTAGTACTTGGTTAATCTCGCAAATAAAGGACAATGCATTATGTAAATATACGGACTGATGTCCGGGATAATTTAGAATGAAAAATTTGTATACGGAAGCAAGCTAGGGACGAACCCGAGCGAAGCCAGAGTCGCTAGTTAGTAATATAAATATTTTTTACAAAAAGAATATCTTACGCGCTCTCTTATTTAATAAAATATAACTACAAGAGAAAATAATACCTACTATAAGATCAAAATAGTTATAAATAATAATTAAAAATGTACGAATCTCATGAATATAATTGTTGTATAAAAATAAGTATTCAAAAAAGTGTACAAGACAAAGTTGCCTACTAATTAAGTATTTAGAATCAACTGCTATTTTCATATCGAATAAAAATACATATCTCGCAATAAAGTTGTCCGAAACTCCATTAAACATTTGAAAACTTAGCGATTTATTAGGTACGTCGGGAAAATTTTTGTTCTCGTATTTGAAAGTTGAAAAATGGTTCACAAAGCTTTTCATTTATTCATGTAGATAAGTAATCTAAAACTCTCTATAATTATTATGATTACTTTGTACGGTTTTAACTTTGCTTCGGAAGTAATTCACGGGCGTTTTTCGAGTAATTTACCTACTGTAGTAGTAGATAGTATTTATACACAATTAAAAAAAAAACAAAAAATGATTTACATACGCTTGAAACATTTAATCGTATAATTATTTACAAGTTTGTACAGCGTAACATGTTTGGCGTTATATATTTTTTATCTTCTACAAGCAGTACGGCTATAAAAATATTAGGTATAGATAATTTAAATTCGTTTTAATTTTTGTTGTACAACTTTAAACTTACAAACATTAAATATAGTAGTATATCATTATAGTCAATTTTGTAGATTTTGAAATGTTCTGAATCCAATTTCAAAGACACAAAGCGTACCCTGCGGCTTTAGTCTTAGTTTTAGTTGACCGAGCGAGCAAAGCGAGCGAAACGTCTCTACTTCAAGTCCGGTAAAATTTGCTTTCCTCTGTCAGTTTGTTGGTACCCCTCTACAGGTCCCCATTTTACAATCGATCTAAAGGAAGCGTGGTATACGTATTTTTCGACTCTAATTTTTTTTTACGTTGGGGATTTTTGATTGGAGGGGATTTCCTCCAAAAAGGGGAAAAGGGGGCTACTGGATATCTCCACCTTATGAAATCCGATTTCCATGGTTCTTTTTCATTTGAAAGGTCAAACTTTAAGTTGGTCTTATAAAAATTTAGTGACGACCAGATCAGAATAGTTCCTGAAATGTAGTAAATTTCTTATATTTTAGTGGTATATTAATTGTTGCAAAAAAGTTCGTGCTCGCGAGGTCTATTTGTCGCAGAAATACTAGTTATAAGAAAATAATTCTATACCAGACTTAAAGAGATCAAATTATTTTTTTCTTTACATCTTTATATTAATGATTAGATATTTGTATAGATACATATAAACACCCTATATTTGGGATACTTAAAATACATTTATATACGTGCGTGCCATGAATGTTCACATACCCACAGCGAGACCCTTTTAAGTATTTGCTCTGAGCAAAAATTGAATCCACAATCATCACGTTAAAAGCGATATACCTACGTCATAACATAATAAAAATATTTCATAGACACTCGTGACTTAAATAATAATTATAACCTAAAAACTTTACAAATTACTTTACCATTTATTGATATTGATATACATCTGGATATTATTGATTACAATTATTTTCTAATCTTTACTAAACACGTTCACTCTCCGTCGGCTGCGAAAGTAGCGTGACATCTCCCATAGGATAGCTTTCGGTTCTTCTGGCACTTGCTAGGTTCTTCGCCCTTTCTCTCGGAGTGCCACAACAGAGCCGCTTGAGTACGCAAGCGTAACACATAAGGAGGGACAACATTAGGAGCAAGCCAATTACAACGGTTACCACTAATAGTATTCTTAGTTCTCCATTCGTTTCCAGACCTCCAGTGTTACGCCCCATTGTTGAAGAATTATACTTTCACCTGTAACAAATAATATAAATATGTAGCTATAAATATACATAACAAAATAGCGGCTTGGCCCGCAAGAAAAGTATTATGAATTCTTTTTTTTTTATGGGGGCCATACCATATATACCACGCTCAGTACCTACTACCGGACTTCTACGCGTGTAATATTCATATCTTATACCTTTCTCATAACCTGTTGCACATCATATTGGACACTTTTATGATCAAATCAATATATTACTAGATATATTTCGCATTTAAAAAATGGTTAAAGTTGTTAAAGCATACATTTCAAATTTTTTATTCCGCTTTTGTATAGTTCTTTTTTAAAATTACATATGTAAAACAAAGTCGGGTTTGTTACAACACTTATAACTCGGGAACTGCTCAACCGATTTTCATGGTTTTTGATTTGTTGGATATTAAAACATCAGAAAATTCACGAAAAAAATAATTTTATATGGCTACACTAGCTAATAATTATTTATATCTATTTAACCTATTTAAAACGTAGGTACATAGAGACGCACCCGTGCAAAGCGTGGGTAAGTCGCTAGTTTGATATAAAAATTATAAAAAATAGTACATTTTCTATCCAAACCACAACGTTCTATATTGCGAATTAGTTAGATTCGTAAAACAGCCTTCAAAAAACCTTTTCTGAATTATAATTAGTTTACGATTCATGTGATTATTACAAGTAGGTGCTAGTAGGTGTAGGTGGTGTAGTGTAGGCACGTTGGTTGTAGTTGTTTTTTGTAGTTGTTCTTTGAAACGGTTAAACTGTGATATTTTCATAGGTAATCTTATTATTTTCTAAATAGTAAAAACAGAGATTACATAAATAGTACCTACCTACTTTCAAAATAAAATAATTGTCAGTAGTCATGAATGAATTAATTTGTTCATGTCAATAGTCTATGAGAATTCTCGAGACTTTTACAAATAAAATAAGCCGAAACTTTGGGTAGTGAAATACCCAATAATTTAGATTCAATTTGAGTAATGAATACATCTAAGATTTAATTATTTTATCTATTATTATGGGCTTAATATATATAGCCTCTGGTCTTCTAGTTTTGGCGCTATACAAAGAAATCTCTAATTTTATTATGTCTTTATCAAATTTAACTTTTATATTCAAATAAGTAAAATTAAAAAAAAAATGATTTATGAATACCTCTCTTCTTATTTTGAGAACAATAAATCCCCAAACTGAAGAACGTATCAAATTCTAACGTTTTTTACGGTTATGTCTACCCCGTAAAATGAATGAGGTCAATATCTTACAGCCTGGCAAATGGTTGAAAATAAGTTTTCTTTTTCATAATAACAGCTTGATGAAATACGCTTCAAAGTGAATATTTGTTCATATATTATAAACAGACTTATAATATAGTATATTATAACTAGCCCTTGATAGCTAGGTTATTAGCGCTAGCTTGATTCCCAATACAAATTTCATCCCCATTTTCAGCCCCTTAAGGAATGATTTCTAGGATAAAAAGTATCCTATGTCCTTCCCAGGGTCTCAAACTATCTTCCTACTAAATTTCATTTAAATCGGTTTATTACATCCAGAGATTACAACGTCACAAACTCACAAACTCTACCTCTTTATAATATCTATATATATATATATATATATATATATATATATATATATATATATATATATATATATATATATATAAAAGAAAGTCGTGTTAGTTACACTATTTATAATTCAAGAACGGCTGAACCGATTTGGCTGAAACTTGGTGGGGAGGTAGCTCAGAACCAGGAGACGGACATAGGATACTTTTTAGCCCGTTCGACTGCGTTCCCGTATACAAGACTCAAGAACGGCTGGACCAATTTATATGATATTTGAATTTTTGGATTTCTCTCATTCCGGAATAGGTTAATACCTAAGTATTAAAACGTCAGAAAAATTAACGAAAAAATATATTTATATGGCTAATAACACTGGCTAATAACTATTTATATCTATTTAAAACGTACCTAGCGACGAACCCGAGCGAAGCGAGTGTGAGCCGCTAGTTAAGTATAGATTAGGCTTGTAAGATCGACTTCTATATAAAAAACAAGTAGTTACTTTTAAATAACTCATATTTGCTATTTTAAAGCTGTTTCTGTTAAGAAATTGTGAAAAGTTCCTTTCTATGGAGCAAATAAATGTTTTTTGCTAACGTAACTAAGCAAAGTTTTAATTAAATACGCAAGAAATATTTAAGAAAAAAATTCCTAGTGATTTCTATATTTATCTCCATATTTTCACTCCCATGGTCTAGGTTCAGGTCTCGGATACCCTGCACCAATAGGAAGATGAGGTGCATGACCGACCGCTTAACATGCTTTACATGTGCTCTACATCATTTACATTCCCGCAAACATAAACACAGTCAATCTCGCATTACCGGGATACTACTGAGAATACTTTAATATAAAATCCCACAAACTATTTTTGGCCTTTCCCTGGCAACGATGCGAGCTCAAGTTCTCACAATTTACAGTCGAGCATGGTAATGTAAAGGTTTGTTGGTTTATTGCAATATCTCATAAGGATGAGTTACGCTACATGGGTATGGCAAAATACAGGCTGTGGCAATTACACAAATAATCATATGTAGATACAGATTAGTTTTCTTGTAGGCTATAAGGGTTTCTTTTTTCTTCGGACGTACGGAAACTTGAAAACTACAAATACATCATATAAACAGCAGTCATTGTAAAAAGAAAATTTCAAAACCTTTATATACCTACTAAAAAAGTACAATACGTTTAGGTACTAATCAATTATTATTTGAAAAATAAATAATTTTTCTCTATTTATTCCTCAATATAGCTGTGCTAAATAGGGAAACGATCAGTCAATCTATCTACAATGGCGTCACCATTGAAATTGCTTGTGGCAGTTTGCTTTATCGCGCGGAACCCGAGTAACAGTCTATTTACGTTCCGGTTTTATTTCATTTACGATCGGTATTGGTATTTGATTATTCACATTCCAAATTCTCACAATATTGTAATTAATTATAGCATAGAAACATCTTGAAATTTCCTTTTTTTATTGAATGAATGAAATAAACTTTATTCAATTAGACTTATTACAAGTGCTTTTGAATCGTCAATTTAATGTAAGAGTCAGTGTAGTCAGTCCACGAGGAAGCTACCACCGGCTCGGAAAGCAGTTCTGCTGAGAAGAACCGGCGAGAAACTCAACAGTTTTGATTGATTTTACTTTAAACTCATGTAACCTTAGTTAATTCCGTCAAGTACATATTCGATATATTGCGATGAGGATATAGATTTCCTATATTCAGAATGAATACTAAAGAAGTCTAACTTTTTTGTAAATCTTAATATATACAACCCCCCTAAGAAAACAATTTTTATAAGTGTGCCACAGCAATGCGTGGCCGAATCTGCTAGTAGGTAATTAATATAATACCTATATCTTAAATAACAAATGCAGTATTTGGTATTTTTAAGATGCATTGTTTAATTTTCAAGGTTTCTGGTTTTAACTTAAATATTTTAATTGACTTACCTAAGTTTTTTAATAGTATCTTCGGTAGGTAAACTTTTTATATCGTAAGCAGTAATAAAATGAATTTTAGGTGTAATGTTAATGAAATTCTAAAATCTTTTGAAAATCAAAAGGAATTATTTGTCAAACGGACAAGTACAATAACTTTTAAGGTTAATTATTTCCATTTCATAAACTTTTAGACTTCAGTTGTAAGTTAGTATAATTGGCATTTCCCAGTGGCATAAATATTTTAGCTCTGTGGATAGCAGCAGAAATACCTTGTGGTTTACGTTCTTGGCGGTCGGAAACATGATGAGATGATGAAAGTTTTGATTAAAATAGCGTGTATTATTATATTATCTTGTTATAATAAAGAGCGAAATTTGTCAAATATTTAATAAGAATATAATGTCTTGAAATTGCCGACAAACACAAATATGTAGAGATGTTTCGTTGTACTCCGCGAGCAATATAACGTAACTTATACACAAAATGTTTGGTATGAAAAATATACTTTTAAGGTTCACATTAAATTTACGCGGATAATATGACTTCCTCGTTATTTTGAGATTGTAAACATTTTTTTATAGTGTTGAATATCAAGAAAACATTTTAATAGTAGCTACATTTTTTAACAAGAAATCAGTAGACAGTGAGCTTGTATTGAGCTTAAACATCCAATAACACCCACTTAATCTCAATGCTTAACAACAACAAAAAACTCAACATATCAAATTTTCTTCTACTTCATAAATGTGACTGTGTTAAGTTTTTCAATAATAATTAAAAACTATAAAAACACATTTGATATAATCTAAATTATTTATCCATAATGATAAAACCTACACATATTTAATAACAATTAAATACAGTGTTATTATTATATATAATAATTTTAATAGGCGTCAATTATCATAAGCTAAAATGTACTTTAAAAACTAACTACAAATAATTATATACCTACATAAGTTCATCAACTATGTCTAAAGTCAAATGGATGTGTTAAATTGTTTTACTATTTTATTTAAGTATGGTAGGTTAGTTGCGATGTTACTATCAGTAATTGTGTATTTAATCGTTACTAGCAAGCAATATGCGATACTGCGAACCGATACAAACCTCTACCTACAAATTGATGATGTAAGAATTTATATTTTTTTATTATAATAAAATAACAACTGAATTTGTTGATTTGTTTTTTATTCACGTCAACTGATATTTTTTACAATATTGAAAAAAATATATTTCTTGCTCTACAAGATGAACAACTTACGGTTGGCTGGAAGAGATCGCGGTTTTAACAGCCGTCTCTTTTACCTTAATTTATTATTTGTTGTGCTATGTTTTAGAACTATACGATAAAGAATAATAATAATTATTAGGAAAACTTAAAAAATAATAATTAGAATTATAGATTGATATATTTTAGGCAAAAATATTTTTAAATAAAGTTAG